TAACAAAGTGAATTTCAAACATATGAAAATAAAGTTCATGAAATCATCACTGAAAATAATGTGCCAAGAAAACGTTTAATAAGAAATTTAGAAATCTCCCATCTCATTTCTTTGCTAGAGGTAATGAAAGAATATGCATACATACACATGCATATGTTCATTATGCTAGCCACTTCTTATTTGAAACATTTTTAACATGCATTGGCCCAAATTTTTCATTTTGGATTGGCTATTTAATGTGTTGGAGAGATCAAGATTCATAAATAAATTATATAACCTCACTTAAAAAAGGTGCAATCTAAACTTTTAGTTATCTGATGTCTTGAGTAAATAGTTCAGCTAAACATCATTCAAGTGAACTTTTCACCATCCTTTACTGGGTGACTGATTAGCCTCTTTAAATCTTCAGAGCCAAATCTTAAATTATTTTCATTGCAATTTTATAAAACTGCATGAACATCACAGTTACAAATCCTAGAAATCAAAAGACACTACAGCAAGCAAATTTAATATTTTTTATTTAATTATACATAAAAGTTCTCTTATAAAAATATGGCCCATATTAGATCACTTTAAAGATACTAATACTTATATATAATGCTTTCAATCTAATTCCTCCATTATTATGAATCTTTTTGGTCCCTGAACCTGCCTTTGTTTCCTCTTCTGAGGCTTTATGCAAGAATATAACCACCCCCATGGGGAGAAGCAAGAACCAAGGGTACTAGGGAGACCAGTCTCAATTATCACTGATGATGCTGAGAAGCACTCAGCACTATGCACATGTTACTCAAATGTAAATGAGGAAAAAAGCTATATGAGTGACCTTCATGAGGTTTTTCACATAAGGTGTATTTCATATCACTAAATATTTAACTACTAACAATCTACAACTCTGAGTCCTCTAAGGTAACATCAATATCCAGCTTCCAATTTCCACTCTTTAAAATATTTCTCCATTGTGTTCCTAGATCTCAAGGTGCCAACATTCACAGTAGGTATGATTTTCTGGGGCTTCAGCCACTGAACAAAACGTTTCATTTCTAGGTAGCTGCTGTGTCATATCACTAAATATTTAACTACTAACAATCTACAACTCTGAGTCCTCTAAGGTAACATCAATATCCAGCTTCCAATTTCCACTCTTTAAAATATTTCTCCATTGTGTTCCTAGATCTCAAGGTGCCAACATTCACAGTAGGTATGATTTTCTGGGGCTTCAGCCACTGAACAAAACGTTTCATTTCTAGGTAGCTGCTGTGCTCACTGTAAGGAATTCCTGCAATACAAAATAAAAGATATTGCCTACTAAAAATCAAATTAATAAAAAAAAATTCACAGCCCAAAATAAAAGAGGAAAGGAGAGCAATCCAGGGTATTTTTGTCAAACACTACTTGCTTTATTTCCAAGAAAATCTGTTAATATCTTTTATGGGTAATAAAGGTTAAACATTAAAATGATGCAAACTTTGAACAAGGAAATTCTATTTTTAATTATATACTTAATGACATGCATTTCTATAGATTTTTATATATAATTAGGCTTTCTTTTCCATTCTTCTCTTTAAGAAATGTGAGTAAAATTTGAAGAATAACAAACAGGAGACTCTTGATTTCCAAGCAAATAAACAGATTCCCATCCCCAAGCTTTGTACACATGAAAAATTAGCAAAAAGAAAAAAAAAATAAGCAAAAAAGAAAAAAAAGTAAATTTAAAAATTCCCTTTATCTTCTTTACTGAAGATCAAGTATTATAGAGAAGGGGAAATAGGGTCCTGTTTTGAGTAAAAGAGGGTCTTTAGAGGCTGAAAGTCAGTCACCTGTCTAGTAACATATCAAAATGTTTCCATCAGCCATTACTGTAATACGCCAATTTCCAAGGACAATGGTAAGCCTCTTCCCTCTAAGACGAAAAACTGAAGACTGTAACTCTTTGCTGTCACCATCGCATCTGATCCACCATCCTTCTGCTTTCAGATTGCAGGGTCATCTAAATTCCCAGTACTCACCTGTGCCACCAACCCCTCCTTTCAAGCAGTCTACCATTTCCCCTACATGTCACTGATCACACAAAGGAAATCACCTGTACTGGTCTATGTCTGTTTACTACAGACATGCTCCTTTGTATCCGTTTACAATGGCTAAAGATGCAGGTTTAGAGTAAGTAGTGATTTGAAACTCTTGAATTGTTAGATTCTTTGGTGCCCAGTCTCCTTGGATCTTAATTTTATGGCTTTTTAAAAATGCAACTACAAACATTATAAGTGAAAACAATGAATAATTATACCATATATTGTAATGTTTCCTTTGGTCTGGGGAATAACATCTGTTATACAAGTTAAGTTATTGGAATGTGTCCATCCTGTGGGTCGAAAAGCCAAAATCTGATTGTATTTTCCACCACACTTCTTCAAATGACTCTGTAAAGCCTATTAAGTAAAAATAAAATATTCATTTAATGGTCAGTGAAGACAGTTATGCAGAATGAAATAGACAGATTAAAGATGTTACACTGGCAGAGGCACTGGGAATTTTCACTTGGTGAGCATTAACTTGCACAACCTAGAGCCCTGCTTCCAAAATAACAAAATCACTGGGAGAAAAAAATATTTTCCCCTTTACTTCTTTAATGTTAAACCAGCTTAAGTACAGTCTGAAAAAAAGTAAGATGAGAAACTTTAGACATAAGTAACTAAGTATTTAAGTTACTAAGTATTACAATTCAAATATCAACCAAAAAAGCCTCTCCAAATCCTACTGCTATTAGGTTATTAGAGATACTAGTATCCAATTATCCCTATTAGAGATACAAATATTAACACTGGTAAACATCAATCCAAACATATATATATAAATATACAAAGACGGAAATAATTTTTTGTAAGAGTGGCATTATGCTCAACACAGACATACATTTTTAAAATGCCCAGAGCACTCTTCTCAGGTATTTATTCCTTATCACTCATGAGCTAGAAAACTTTCAGAACTCTCATGCTGCCAAAATTGGAATCAACATGGTCCCTTAATGAATCTTGCAGAATGGAACTTTCCAAAGTCATTGTAAGTGATGACACTTGATAAAGTTCTTAGAAAATCAATGACCAAGTTCAATTTTTTTAATTTTGTTACCATTAATCTACAATTACATGCAGAACATTATGTTTACTAGGCTCCCCCTTTCACCAAGTCCCCCCCACAATCCCCATTACAGTCATTGTCCATCAGCGTAGCAAGATGCTGTATAATCACTACTTGTCTTCTGTGTTGTACAGCCCTCCCCATGCCCCCCCCACAACATTATACATGCTAATTGTAATGCCCCCTTTCTTTTTCCTTCCAAGTTCAGTTTTTGAAAGACAATAATACAAAAACACTTAGGAGGATTAAATAAGAAGTGATTTGCTTTTCATCAGACAAATTAGAGTTGCCACAAAAACATATGATTTTATCATATAAGTCAAATGTACAGCCACTAGTTGTTCATTAGCCACAACTGGAGAACTATTATCATGAGCAATTTTATTAAAAATGCTTTAGTCAACATAAAGTCCTCAATCCGTGACTTGTCTGTTTATTGGTAACCAGTTTTGATAAAAATACTTTCAATATGTGCCAGTAGAACTTTTTCAACATGCTAATATCATCCAAAACATTACTGTCATGTTTTATGAGATTCAGTCAATCGAGTTTAAATCAGAGGTGGTCAACTATATATCACATATATGAACTTGGGATGTTGAACCTGATAGCATGAACTGTATTATTTATAATGTTTCTAAGGCTTTCAAGCCTGCCTTAGAAACCCTGAAAATTTTATCAGATTTACATTTGCACAAAAAGTCATTAACTCTGATGCAACGGAACAATTTTTGTTTGGTAAAAATAGGCTTTAAGTACTAACTAAAATAATAGCCTCATGGTAACAATCAGCTTCTAATCCATGTGTGTTTTGAAGATAAGAAATCATCAAAAATGTCATCAATATCTTTGTCACTTAATTGGAGGAAGGGGAAGGGCTACCAAAGGCAATACCAACAGAGGACAAATACAGAAAAAATATAGATTCACGATTTGAGATATTCTTTATCTTCAAGGCAGAAAGCTATGCCTTTTTTTGTGTGTATGAAGCATACAGTTCAGTGGTGTTAATATATTCATTACTAACATCTAATTCTAGAACATTTTTATCACCCCACAGAGAAACGCTGTACCCATCGGCAGTCACTCCCCACCCCCTCTCCCTCAAGCCTGGGCAACCGCTAATCTACTGTCTCTATAGACTTTCCTATTCTGGACATTTCATATAAATGGAGTCACACAATATGCAGTCCTTTGTGTGTGGTTTCTTTCACTTGCCATAATGTTCTCAAGGTTCATTCACACTGTAGCATGTACTAGTAATTCATTCCTTTCTACAGCTGAATAATATTCCTATTTTGCGGATATGTCACGTTTTATCGATTCATCATTTGATGGGCATTTGAGTTGTTTCCAATTTTCTGCTATTACGAATAACGCTGCTTTGAACATTTGTGTACAAAGTTTTGTGTGGACATTATCTTTTCACTTCTCTTGATCATATACCTAGGACTGGGATTGCTGGCCAGAGAGTCAGCTCATACTTAACTTTTTAAGAAATTATCAAACTGTTTTCCAAAGCATCTGTATCATTGAAGAATCTCACCAGCAATGAATGAGGATTCCAGCTTCTCCATATCCTCACCAACAAACATTGTCCATCTTTTCTAGTACAGCTATCCTAGTGAGTGTGAAGTGGTATCTCACTGTGGTTTTGAACTACAGTTCCCTGTTGCTAACAACGTTGATCCTCTTTTCATATGTTTATTGGCCATTTGTATGTATGTCTTATTCATTTGACCATTTATATCTTCTCATTCATTCCTTAGCCTTCTGCCATCTGGCTTCCTCCAACATCACTTCACTGAAACAGTTCTTGTGCAGGTCAATGATGATGTTCTAACTGCCAAATTGCCATTCTTTCCTTAATTTAGTTCTCTGTAGCAGATAAGATAGCACTTTCAATTTAACAATTTCTTGAAAAGGGCTAGTCCCTTAATTTTCCACAATACTTTGACTCCTCCACCCCCATTATTCTCCTAAATAGATAATTTGTTCAAATGGAATGAACTTAATAGGAAATAAAACTGTAAAATAAAAATAAAAATATACTATACCTTCCTCAGGACATTAGTGTTCACTTTATGATTAATCAACATCTCGTCAGCCTCCACACAAAATGGATGCTTCTCAAATTTAAAATATGTTTACAAAGCTGGCTTAAACACCAATGGATACAACTTTAACTTTATTATCTCTGAAATTTTATGAATTACATACTCCTGAAAATAATTTTACCTTAATCTTATTGACAAAGGAGTAGTTATAACAGAATTTTCTTACTCAAGGGATAGACCTAAAAAACTCATTTTCTTTATACAATACCAGTGTTATTATTAATAAGACAGATAACAGTAAACAACACCCTAAGCTATTTCAAAGAGCTCCACAGAAGTTACTTCATGAACACTATGGCAAAAGTAAAAATACATTAGTGCTCTGAATTGCTTTTAATACCCAGGTTTGATGTTTTCCACTGCTGGTTGTCAGATGCTACAAAATGGAATGAATCTTAGTATATTAATAAATCTGACAAATAAGCCTCCAAACTGTTAGGAATGTTAGGTAGAAAGGATGACTAATTTCATTGGTTAATATGTAGTTAGGGAAGGGGAAGGTAAGGTTGAAGGGGAAAAAACTGCCCCAACTGCCCAGGTAGGGGTCCCACGTGAAGACAACACAGGCTTTGCAGGGAGATAACTTCTTGTCCATTGGGACCAGTCCAAACTGGTCCCAACTAGGTCCCAAAGCAATGCAACTAAATGGAACTATACCCATCACAATTTCATTAAAATAAATTGTGGTTTTGCCCTCCTCCCCATGGGCTTTTCTGTGCTTTTTGGGAAGAAACATGTGCATCAAGAGGAATGGGTGTATAACTAGAGCTATCAATCAAATGACCTCACCCTGCCAATCAAAGAAGTACCTCCCAGCGAGGTCAGGATAAATAGATCCTCCCCTACAAGTTCCAGGCCTTTGTCTACCTTCACTCTGGCATTCAAATAAAACTTTCACTCCGCTTCGCTACTGTTTCCCTGCCTTTCAATCCTTTGTTGTGGTGGGGGCAAGAACCGAAGAGGACAAACTCAACCCCTAACAAAACCACAGGAAGTCATACCACATGTATTTTAATTTATACCTCAGAACTAACACTAGCACTTCCTCTTAGGATGTACTTCCACTATTTCATTAAATCCTCACAACAAGTAAATTTCAAACATAATCAATGTTGTAGAAGCTTAGTAGTAATACAGAATAGACCTGAAAATAAAAGTAAGAAGTCCTTAAAATTCTCTACTCATTTCCCCACTTACCTGGAAGAACTAGAAATGAACCTTAATAGAAGGTGTGAATGACTGGATAGCTGCATACTTTTATATTTTTATTTTTTCCTTTATAACTGGTTCTCTAGGTCCTAGACCCTTGGTGGGCATATGATTTACTCTGAACAGGTACACACACAAAAAAAACCTAAATACACCTACATTCTACTGTAACAATTTTCTAGGGAAAAGTTTACTGTAGGTGACCCCACTATAACTGAATTGCTCTAGTTAAATGCAGGTAAGATTGGATTTCAGTTTACAATCACTGGATTATCTTTTCCAATTCATACTAAAAAGGCATATCTCTTGAATGCTTACCTTAAAATTAATCTGCATCATTGGGAGAAGGTGAACCAGTGAATTGCCCATGTCTGTGGTGATGAGGGAATTAATTTCAGGTATTTTGAGGCATTGTAATGTTTTATATTTTTCTTGGGACATGCCCACTTTTGAACCTAAAACATCAGCAATGGCTATAGGCAAAGGAAAAGATTAAAAATAGTAAAATCACAGCTTATGGGAAAAATAACCAAATGACAAGTTAATAAAAATTTAAAGAACTTACAAAAAAGAAATTCCAAACATTTATGCTTTTGCCATAAAATATCAAAAGGATGATTAATTTCATTGGTTAACTACATGGAATAAATTGTGAGAAACCCAAAGAACTTATTTTTCTTTAAAAATTGCAGAAGATGTATAGAAAGGAGTGGAGGAAGGGAAAGAACCAAATTTGGAGGAGTTAAAACCTTGGCTTTATCACTTCATATCTTAATGTTTAACACTATGTGGCCATAGGAAGAAATGGAAAGAACTTTACAAAACAGTATAATTCTATCTAGACAAACTGCAATTACATATCCAGGAATCATTTAGGAATAAAAACTAAAACTATTTTCCAACATAATTTACTGATGGTTATCCTCAAAGAAGGCATCAATACAACTATGCCTTAGTCATTATTTAGTTTATTAAAATATCAATGTACCATGGACATTTGCTCTATAAACATTTTGTAGATACAAAGGCTATCATAAACATGCTTATCAAGTGTTTCCATTAAGCTAAGCCTTTCAAAATTTAAATGAATCAAATTCCCTCAAATTTTCTTTCAACTTCAAAGGTAATACTGAACCATTTGAGGAAATAAATATCAAATACAAGAATAGAGACTGAAAGGGCTTTATGCAAAAAGAATCTGATCTTCATAATATATTAATGTAAATTAGATATAGCTACCACGCACCTAGGAAGACTTTCTCTTTTCCAATAGAGTAAGTGCCACAGACAACAAGAGCATGCGGGTTTAGAGTTACAGCCTCAAAGGCAGTGTTGATGGCAAACTGGATAACCTCTTGCTGAGACGGAAAGGAGTATTCCGGGCTGCAATATCTGTTATATATAGAAATATGATACTTCTTAAAAGATCAACAAGAAAGCCATAGCATCAAGTTGGATGCTATTTTAGAAAATAAGCTTTAGCAAAATTACATACAACATAAATATAATATATTAACACCACTGCCGTTATCTTACTGCTTGTGGTTAAAGTATTTGTTACCAGTTATATAATTTATGATGGAATTATACATTTGCAATATACCTTTTTCATTATATTTCTTTTATCACCCTCAAATCAATAAGTTGCCTTTTTTATTTCAAGAATATTTCTGGCCAACTAGCTACTGAAGCTATGTTATAAATCTTAATTTCTTTTTTGAAATCCCAATCACTATCAAAGAAAATATTATCAATAGGGGTTTTATCTTTGGACTAAAGAATTCTAACTTAGTTTTAAAAAAATTAAAACAATGAAACCAAACATGAATTTAATGAAGTAGTGTTAAATCAAACAGTTAATATTTACATGGTTATCATCTCTTCTTAGTAGATACAGAAATATATACAGTATTACAGGATATAACGATTCATTGGGTCTACCTCAATACACGAACACCCAAGGAAACATTAACCGTAAAACTCCTAGCTATGTATATTTGAAATGAAAAATAAGCACTTTTTCATATTTTTCCCAATTTGCAAAACTATTTTGCTGGTCAGCCATATGAATAGAGAAAATAATTGTATGTAGAACAAAACTAAGTAACCAAAGAAGTGTTTTTTACTTATTATTTTCTTAATTTATCTAGTATTTATACTACATATAAAAGAATGGAAAAATTAGCTGTAGTTTTAGAAAACTGGATGTGGAAAGCCCATCTTTTAGTGAAATACACCATCCAAACTCACTTCTTGAAATATGTTGAAATAGTTAACATAATTCGTTTCTAACAAATTGATGAGGTATTCTAATATAAAAGGATAATAGCTTATACCATTATGTTTAGGAATTCAAAGTTGCCACTTATAAATTACCTTTTGGAGAAAAGAACAAAGTTATTCTGAATATTCAGAAGCAGAATTGCATTTTGGCCTCTGCTTTTTCTTTACATTACATTTGAGAGTTACATGGATACTTTGAAATGAGAGCTTATATGAGTGTTTTCCTAGAAAAGTTTGCCCCCAAATTTTCTTTCTTTGTTTCAGTAATCGGATTCTCACATAAACTGTATTTTCAAAAGGAAATTATAAACAAGTATTGAGCTGCAATTAAAACATGTTATCCCAAATTTGTTCTTCAGCAAGTATATATTTCTTCAAATAGTATCCCTCTGATAGCCTGAAAATAAGAACTGACAACAAACCATCATTTTGGTTACATAAGCAAATGCTCAAATTATTCATAATATACGGGGCAAATGCTGTCCATGGGAAGAGGAAGCAGACGAACAAAACCTTTCTTACGTTGTGTCTAAGTAAAGCGTGTGGACTTTCTGGCCTGCTAGAAGAGAACGTTCCATGGTGGGATCTGCTCTGAAGTCTCCGGTATGTAATATGACATTACCGTTAGGAAGATAAAAAAGGATCATCACAGCACCTGGACAGCTGAACACAAACATTTCAAAGGATGATTCTAAACACAGGCAAAGCATCTAAAGGAAGAACACTTATTTCAGTATCAACAAGTTAATACACTTTATTAGCTTACTGCAATGACACAGCATTGAACTATAGAGGAAATGTAGCATTTTAACTTAAGGAATACACATGATAAAAAAAATAATTGGTGTGCAAGGAAGAATTACTTCAGCAGGCCAAGGCTGCTCAGACTCCACACATCCCCAAGAAAGGCCTATCTTAAGGACTAGTTCTTGGCGGCCTCCCTGGGAGATGAGTTCTGAGTCTTTGGAATAGGCTGCCTCATAAGAGTGTTTTGTATGCCTGACAAATGCTTCTGGCCATATGTTACTAGTTTGATGGATAGTTTATGCTAATAATGTGATCTATGGTGAATATCTATCTTTGCTCCACATTACTGGAGGCTGAGTACCAAGGTCGGTCACATACATGAGTGTTGCACGTGTACCTGACTGACCCTGAATAAAAACCCTGGACACCAAGGCTCAGGGGAGCTTCCCTGGTTGGCTATACTTTGCATATGCTGTTACACATTGTTGCTGGGAGAATTAAGGGCATCCATCCAACTCCATTTGAAGAGAATACCTGGACAATTCCACTTGGTTTCTCCTAACTTCACCCCTATTTGCCTTTTTTCCTTTGCTAATTTTAATCTGTACCCCTTCACTGTGATAAGCTATAACCACAAGTTTAACAGCTATCCTTTGTCCTATGGGTCCCTGTAGCAAAGCGCTCAGCCTCAACGTGGTCTGGGAGATCCTGACAGAAAGGGGTTTAGAAATGACTGCCAAAACACACAGGATTCTCATTTTGAATTGTATTTGTACTTTAAAACTTACCTTCCCACACTAAAACTTCAGACCCCAGTGACTTCACTGCAGAATTCTATCAAACACATAGGGAAGAAATAGTACCACTACTACATATCTTTCAGAAAATAGAGGAGGGAATACTTCATGAGGCCAGCATTACCCTGATATCAAAACTAGAAAAATGTATTATAAAAAAAACTATAGACCTGTATCCTTTATGAAAGTAGGCACAAAATTCCTTAACAAAATACTAGCATATCAAATCTGTTCAATATATTTTTAAAAGCATAATACATGAAGACCAAGTGGGGTTTACCCCAGTGATGCAAGGCTGGTTTGACATTCAAAAAATCTATCATTGTCATTTACCATGTTAACATTATTAAGGAGAAAAATTATATGATCATCTCAACAGATACTAAAGAAGTATTTGACAAAATTCAACACCCATTCATGATAACAAACTCTCAGCAGAGTAGGAAAAGAGAGGGTCTTCCTCAACCTGATAAAAGGCATCTATGAAAACCCTACCGCTAACGTCATGCTTAATGGGGAAAGACTGACAGCTTTCCCCTTAAGATCAGGAATAAGCAGTATGTCTGCGCTCTGCATTCACCACTCGTATTCAACACCACACTGAAGGTCTGAGGCAGTACAGTACACGACAAAGAAAAGCACTCTGAATGGAATGCAAGAAGTAAACAAAACTGTCTTTACTTGCAGATTACATGATCTTATATGTAGAAAATTTTCAAGAATCTACAAAAAGCCTACCACATCTAATAAGCAAGTTTAGCAAGGTCATAGGATACAAGGTCAATAATCAAAAATCAATTTTCCATCAAGAGATGAATGGATAAAGAAACTGTAGTGTATCTCCACAATAGATACTGTAGGGCAATAAACAGGAACACGCTACTGATACACATATCATCATGGATAAATCTCCAAAACACTATGAGTGACTGAAGCCAGACACAAAAAAGTAGATACTATGTGATTTGATGTAGCCAAATCCCTAGGAAAGACAAATCTGATCCATAATGATTACAACAGATCAATGGTTTGTAAACAGATCAAGGAAATCTTGCGGTGGGAAAAGTTTCGATATTTTTATGGCAGGAATTACATAGGTGTGTATTTCTGTGAAAATTTAACAAACATTTAAAATGGGTCCATTTTACATATGCAAATTGTACCTCAATAAAAGTTTATTTAAAATCAGAAACTGAGTTGCCATAATTGGTTATTTAAAAAGAAACAGCAGCAAAGTTAGCAGACAAAATTAAAAGGTGACCTAAATAAATAGCATTGGTATGGATTTTAGGAGACATAGATTTAGTCTTAATTTTAATTCTCTAAGCATCTATGATCTAAGGTACATAAGGCTAACATTCTATGATAACTAGAAAAAAGCATTGTGGGTAAAATTGTAATATTTCCAGAATATCCCTCCTGGCTTTAGTACATCTGCATATCAAAAGGTGCTCAAGGGTGGAGAGAAGTATGGCTTTAGTGCATTTGCATCATTCCTCAGGGGTGGAGAGAAGTTCAGCTCCATATCAGTGGGTAATGACCTGGGCAACAGAGGGCTCATCTGTACCTGGAGGTGAGGGGAGGGCCCTTTTGCTTCTGCTGGAGCAGGAAAGAGAGAAGGGCCTGGACTGCAGTTTGTAAGTAATAAATGGATTTTGAACTTTATTTCTCCATTTGACTGATTCAGTTTTAGAGGTATTTTGCCCCAGGATTTCCTCTCCCCAGACTTACAAGGACAGTTGACAGGTGCATTTTGGCAACATGAATATTCAGTAGTATATTACATTAAAAAAAGAAGAAAAGAGAAAGAAAAAGGGAAACCATTTCCAAGAAAAAAGTCTTCCAAGTCTTTAGTATCAAAAACCTGAAGAATTTAAAAGAGAAAAAAACCCTCTAGTATCTAAATGGAATTTTTTAAGTGATTTATATATTTATTTATTTATAAATACATATTATATTTAATATATAATATTTAAATGTTTAAAATTTTAAATAATATATAAATATATATATTTGTATATATGTAAGTTAATTAACGTGATATTAGAGAAAATGACAAAAGGTTATCTCTTAAATAAAAGCAACAAAATGTCAAAACATTTAAAAAAAATAAGGTGGAGTTTTATATGTCAAGCATAGTAATTTAAACTACTTAAAAAAATAGGTTACATAATATTTAGAGAATTTCTTTACATTTAATCTGATTCTGTAATTGGGTACAATTTTTTTCAAAAGTAGAAACAAATTTTTATTCAAGTTTTTAGAAATATCAAGCATATTTGTTCCAATTAAAAAGTTCTTAAGTAACCACGCCAATGTGTTTTGAGTACTTAAAAAATAGGCTATCATTAAGTTTAATACTTACTGATTGGCATCAAGCAAAACAACTTTTATACCATTCACTATACAATCAGTGTCCATTGGCAGTGGGTAGATATATTGTTCTTGCACATGAAGTTTACTCTTCAACAAATTGCCAGTTATCTGCAAAACAGGGTATGCTTATTGCTGATACAGTACAACACTAAATAGTCTTTGATTTCACATTTAGTGTAGAACTCAAGAATCTTAATAATCTCCCTGCTGTCCCACTTATATTCATGAAGACTCTCCAGAATGCCTGGAAGAACTTCTAAAATGACTGCATCGTAACTCTGCTTAAATACTCACTGACTCGCCCTCATCTGTGAAAGACCCATCATCCCCGACATGACATACAAAACCCTTCTTGACCTGCTCCCTGCCCATTTCTGTGGGTTTATCTCCTGGTATTCCTCATTTTGTGTTTTGCTGTTCTGAATTATCTGAAGTGCCTGGAAGGGGTATTTCTTAAGGGTCTGCGCCTTTATACAAAACTCTGTTCTCTACCTGGAATATTCTCTCCTTTTTTCTCTGCCTGCTTCCGGAATCAGACAGATGTGCATTCAAATTCTGGCTCTGCCATTACTAGCTCTGTTACTTGGCGCATTCCACTTAACCTCTCTCCAAGCACAAGTTGTTTCATTAATAAAAAGAGGATAATTTAAGAATGCTGTGAGGTTAAACAAAATTCTAGGCAAAGCCCTTAGTAGTAGGCATTTAAAATGTTCACCTTTCAATAATTAGTTCAAAGTATCTTTTCCACCATGAAACTTTCTTTAGCCTTAGCCTTAGCCCAGGACAGAGTAAAGAACTCCCTTCTCCCTAATTCTAGGTGTTGTGTTCACTTTCCTATGACAATACCAATCCTTTCATGGTATTATTTGTGAATGTGTATGCTGAAGGCTTCAAGCCCCCTGAAGCTAAGTATTTTGTCTTGAATATATTTTAGGCACTCAATAAATGTTTACTGAATGAAACTTCAGTGTTTAGTCCATTTTAAAATAGTTTTCATACAATAAAGCATATTTTTAAAACATCTATTGTAATTGTTGGCAATAACTCAATTTTAACATCTCAGTGTGGAATGTTTTCTCACATCTTCTCTAGTAGAATGATAGACCTTTCAATTTTAATTATTCTTTTTAAACCAAATTGCTTAGAAATTTGTGGTAGTCTACAAACTCAGAATATAGAACACTAACTTACCTCACTACAATAAACTGGAAATGTGAAGTTTTTAGACAGTCCAGCATAATGATCAGAATGAAAATGTGTGAGAAAATAGGCTGTGCAACCTTCAACCAATCCATACTGAAAAGCATCAACTGTGAAGCCAGTTCCTGCAATAAAAATACCAACAGAGCTGCTTTAGCACTAGCTTATTATAAAGCAAAAGATACCCAATTTGAGTATAAGTAGTGAACCCTCTAACACCTTTACATCTCATTTCCAACTTAAGTTTATAAAAAGTTACACCACATAAATTTAGCAAGAGACGATACTAGAGATGAAAATGTTCTGTTAAGTTTCTACTTGTCATAGGATACAAGGTCAATAATCAAAAATCAATTTTCCATCAAGAGATGAATGGATAAAGAAACTGTAGTGTATCTCCACAATAGATACTGTAGGGCAATAAACAGGAACACGCTACTGATACACATATCATCATGGATAAATCTCCAAAACACTATGAGTGACTGAAGCCAGACACAAAAAAGTAGATACTATGTGATTTGATGTAGCCAAATCCCTAGGAAAGACAAATCTGATCCATAATGATTACAACAGATCAATGGTTTGTAAACAGATCAAGGAAATCTTGCGGTGGGAAAAGTTTCGATATTTTTATGGCAGGAATTACATAGGTGTGTATTTCTGTGAAAATTTAACAAACATTTAAAATGGGTCCATTTTACATATGCAAATTGTACCTCAATAAAAGTTTATTTAAAATCAGAAACTGAGTTGCCATAATTGGTTATTTAAAAAGAAACAGCAGCAAAGTTAGCAGACAAAATTAAAAGGTGACCTAAATAAATAGCATTGGTATGGATTTTAGGAGACATAGATTTAGTCTTAATTTTAATTCTCTAAGCATCTATGATCTAAGGTACATAAGGCTAACATTCTATGATAACTAGAAAAAAGCATTGTGGGTAAAATTGTAATATTTCCAGAATATCCCTCCTGGCTTTAGTACATCTGCATATCAAAAGGTGCTCAAGGGTGGAGAGAAGTATGGCTTTAGTGCATTTGCATCATTCCTCAGGGGTGGAGAGAAGTTCATCTCCATATCAGTGGGTAATGACCTGGGCAACAGAGGGCTCATCTGTACCTGGAGGTGAGGGGAGGGCCCTTTTGCTTCTGCTGGAGCAGGAAAGAGAGAAGGGCCTGGACTGCAGTTTGTAAGTAATAAATGGATTTTGAACTTTATTTCTCCATTTGACTGATTCAGTTTTAGAGGTATTTTGCCCCAGGATTTCCTCTCCCCAGACTTACAAGGACAGTTGACAGGTGCATTTTGGCAACATGAATATTCAGTAGTATATTACATTAAAAAAAGAAGAAAAGAGAAAGAAAAAGGGAAACCATTTCCAAGAAAAAAGTCTTCCAAGTCTTTAGTATCAAAAACCTGAAGAATTTAAAAGAGAAAAAAACCCTCTAGTATCTAAATGGAATTTTTTAAGTGATTTATATATTTATTTATTTATTTATAAATACATATTATATTTAATATATAATATTTAAATGTTTAAAATTTTAAATAATATATAAATATATATATTTGTATATATGTAAGTTAATTAACGTGATATTAGAGAAAATGACAAAAGGTTATCTCTTAAATAAAAGCAACAAAATGTCAAAACATTTAAAAAAAATAAGGTGGAGTTTTATATGTCAAGCATAGTAATTTAAACTACTTAAAAAAATAGGTTACATAATATTTAGAGAATTTCTTTACATTTAATCTGATTCTGTAATTGGGTACAATTTTTTTCAAAAGTAGAAACAAATTTTTATTCAAGTTTTTAGAAATATCAAGCATATTTGTTCCAATTAAAAAGTTCTTAAGTAACCACGCCAATGTGTTTTGAGTACTTAAAAAATAGGCTATCATTAAGTTTAATACTTACTGATTGGCATCAAGCAAAACAACTTTTATACCATTCACTATACAATCAGTGTCCATTGGCAGTGGGTAGATATATTGTTCTTGCACATGAAGTTTACTCTTCAACAAATTGCCAGTTATCTGCAAAACAGGGTATGCTTATTGCTGATACAGTACAACACTAAATAGTCTTTGATTTCACATTTAGTGTAGAACTCAAGAATCTTAATAATCTCCCTGCTGTCCCACTTATATTCATGAAGACTCTCCAGAATGCCTGGAAGAACTTCTAAAATGACTGCATCGTAACTCTGCTTAAATACTCACTGACTCGCCCTCATCTGTGAAAGACCCATCATCCCCGACATGACATACAAAACCCTTCTTGACCTGCTCCCTGCCCATTTCTGTGGGTTTATCTCCTGGTATTCCTCATTTTGTGTTTTGCTGTTCTGAATTATCTGAAGTGCCTGGAAGGGGTATTTCTTAAGGGTCTGCGCCTTTATACAAAACTCTGTTCTCTACCTGGAATATTCTCTCCTTTTTTCTCTGCCTGCTTCCGGAATCAGACAGATGTGCATTCAAATTCTGGCTCTGCCATTACTAGCTCTGTTACTTGGCGCATTCCACTTAACCTCTCCAAGCACAAGTTGTTTCATTAATAAAAAGAGGATAATTTAAGAATGCTGTGAGGTTAAACAAAATTCTAGGCAAAGCCCTTAGTAGTAGGCATTTAAAATGTTCACCTTTCAATAATTAGTTCAAAGTATCTTTTCCACCATGAAACTTTCTTTAGCCTTAGCCTTAGCCCAGGACAGAGTAAAGAACTCCCTTCTCCCTAATTCTAGGTGTTGTGTTCACTTTCCTATGACAATACCAATCCTTTCATGGTATTATTTGTGAATGTGTATGCTGAAGGCTTCAAGCCCCCTGAAGCTAAGTATTTTGTCTTGAATATATTTTAGGCACTCAATAAATGTTTACTGAATGAAACTTCAGTGTTTAGTCCATTTTAAAATAGTTTTCATACAATAAAGCATATTTTTAAAACATCTATTGTAATTGTTGGCAATAACTCAATTTTAACATCTCAGTGTGGAATGTTTTCTCACATCTTCTCTAGTAGAATGATAGACCTTTCAATTTTAATTATTCTTTTTAAACCAAATTGCTTAGAAATTTGTGGTAGTCTACAAACTCAGAATATAGAACACTAACTTACCTCACTACAATAAACTGGAAATGTGAAGTTTTTAGACAGTCCAGCATAATGATCAGAATGAAAATGTGTGAGAAAATAGGCTGTGCAACCTTCAACCAATCCATACTGAAAAGCATCAACTGTGAAGCCAGTTCCTGCAATAAAAATACCAACAGAGCTGCTTTAGCACTAGCTTATTATAAAAAAAGATACCCAATTTGAGTATAAGTAGTGAACCCTCTAACACCTTTACATCTCATTTCCAACTTAAGTTTATAAAAAGTTACACCACATAAATTTAGCAAGAGACGATACTAGAGATGAAAATGTTCTGTTAAGTTTCTACTAAATATTCCAGTATAGGTTTTCTTTATGAATAACCATACAAAAAAAACAAAATACTAAGCTACAGACCAATTACTTCTTTGTTTCAGTGAATATTTTCACGATACTTACTCGTCACCTAAAATCCTTTACTTCTGCAGACCAGCAAAAGGAGAATGCTTTCCTCTAAAGCATAAATTCTCAATGGGGGCAATACAGATATGATTCTGTTAGGCAGAAAGACAGAAATGAGAGGGATGGAAAGGAGAAAGGGCGCCCTGAAGCTGACTCAGGGAGTTGATCAGGTGGAACCAGAAAGCCAGAAATGACTCAGAGAGTTGATCAGATGAAGCCACAGGGTCCAGGGGTGACTCAGGAAATGTCCAGGGTCCTCCCAGATAAGAAATAACAGAGGCACAGGCACAGCACAGCCCCTGTCCCCATTTCACCAATCAGAACAAGCCTAGAGAACTGATAGCTGTCAATCAAGGACCTCTCTGCCCTGCCAAAAACCACATAAAAGCCTCAAAATGAGCACACATGCCTGCCTGTCCTATACTTAGGCTGGCCCGCTCTGCTACTCTATGCAGAGTGTATTAAAACTTACTTTGCTTTCTTGACTTTGGTGTCTCGTCTCACTGTATCTGACTTCCCTGCAACACCAAGCCGAGTCCTTTCCTCCCCAACACTTCCAAGGGGACAAAAGTGGTTGAAGACCCAAATAACCTTACATATTATAACAGTTTGCAGCCCTCCAAAAGGTTACAGTACAATAACAGATAAACAGTGTGATAGTATTTGAATTTCAGTGGGGGGCGGGTAGGAGGGAAATGAGGAAAAAATGCCTCAAAAGGGCTCCCTAGAGGACCAATAATGAAAAAAACATTTGAACTATTCTGAAATATGTTTATGAAAGAAATAACAAAGTGTGCGGGCTGTTATATGCAAGTAAACAAGCCACCCTCACATTCTGTTAAGGCTTATCAACACAGGGTATATTAGTCTTAGGCTCACTTAAAATTCAGAAAATTAATCAAAATAATTATTAAAAACAGAATGGGTGCTATGATGTACATAAATGCTAATCTCTACATAAACATTGTGAACAAACCACAGTTTTAGAGTATCAATAAAAGCACTTTCAAAAATTTTCCTGAAACCAAGTATATTTGGCAGTTTTATTTTATATTCTTTTCAGAATAGTTATTGGTTTTTTTCAATAATAAATACACTTCACTATACCCTTTTCTACTAGCTCATCTATGAAGGCAAGAGAAATTAAAAGAATATGGAAAGGGTGGGAAACTAAGTTATGATATGGTTTTTAAATGTTTGGCATTTATTATCAGTACAACCTATTACATTTTCCTTCTTTAAAGCTATTTAGTACTTTGAATTTCTCTTCAGTGCTTAGAGATCATCTTTCATTACAGTTACTTACAGAGAGCCTTCCTCCTGCTGTATTAAGCTGAGCTCACCTAATCTGTCAAATCTGTAATATCCACCTAACTAGTACAGTAACTTGAACATAAAATACATCTAGTAAAACTTTGCTGAATTAAATGGATCAAAAAAGATGAAATAGGCAAAAAAAATGTGTTATAGATCAATGAAGTAACGTAAAAAACAAAGGAAACACAAATTGTTTCATACACACACACACACACACACACACATGGGCAATGAACATCAAATTTTAAAAAGTTGATCCTTTGCAGATAAATTAAGCATTGATATTTCAACTTACCAGGTATTTTCTTATAGAATGGACATGTCTTTTTTCTCAACGCTCCTGTATTAGATGACTCTGAAATTTTCACATTCCTTCTCGGCAGCCTGCCATAAGCTGATTTTATGAAGACTTTGTCTTGACTTACATTGACTATTTCAGATTCTATTTTGTTAATGAGGTGATGTAACCTCTTCTGATGTGCTCCTTCCTGTGAATCTGACTTTTTACGTCTCTTTCTTTGATGCTGTGATCTCTCCCTAGAAAGTTCCACAGAGGGCTGATGCTCATCCAAAATTTTTTCATCAAGTTCTAAATCACTTAAAGATTTTTCTGCTTTCCTCTTGCACTGCCGGGACCTCTTTTCATTAGGACTTGGGACTGGATTTAAGCTCATCCCTTTGAATGCACCTTCCCCCAGCAATTTCTCTTCTTTTCTTTTCGGTGGTAGTCCAAAATACACACCTATATCCATTTGCTTCATTGCTTTGGCAGAAGTGTGTGTTGCCTTACACTTAGGATCAGATGGCAATATTTTCAGAGACTTAGCAGCAGTATATGCACCAGAAAATTTCTCTGTATTTAAAACTGTAACTTCACTGTCTAACATACCCTCTAATGACTTTCTGCAGGAACATACTGAGCTAGTATTGTTCTTGGCATTGTAATTCTTACTTGATAATTCCCTGCTTTTACTCTGGGTTAGACGGAAAGTAAGACAGCTTCCCTCCCGGCTTTCCAAACGTTTTGGCATTTGATGCTTAAGTAAAGAAAGAGAAATTTGATTGTGAACAGCTGATTCTTCAATGACCTGTTTCTGTATATTTAATTGAGATGAGTGAAATTTTGGCTCATCAGGCTTTGTTTGGTAACTAGCGACTTGGTAACTAGAAGTAAGCCCCTCTGCTAATGCAGGTGGAAACAACATAAAATCACCATCAGTATATGCTGGATCATCACATGAAGTAATATTCTTATTTTGGAAAACAAATTGAGATGAATCATTTAGAGTGTTGCACTTGTACAATTCTTCATTGTATGTGCCCTGAGTTGGGAAGCTGTTCACTTCGGGGCCATGCTCCTCCTGGTCCTTCAGTAAGGGACCATGGAGTTTGCTAAACAAAGCAGAGCTATTATCATCTTCTTCCAGGCTGCCATCTTCAGAGCTTCCTGTAAAAAAGAGTTCCTGCTGTGAGTCCTCCAGCTTTTCATCAATATCAGAAGATTCTTCATCACTTTGAAGTGGAGAATAGGAGATTTCACAGTTGCTAAAGTCATTTTCGGGCAATGCCAAACGTAGGTGTTCTGAGTTGTTTTGGCGATCTGATTCTTCAGCAAGAGGCACACCAACTCCTACCAGTTTGTCGTTATTAACAAATTCTGTAAACTGTGGGGCTTGTTGGGATGTTTGGATATTTGTTGAAGAGGAAATCTTTCTAGGGGCTTCAGCTGGAGACTGAGATTTTCTGAGACACTGCGTCACCACAAAGGGAACAGCTGAAACATTTTTGAAGTCTTCCATTTGTTTCTGATCCTGAGACCATCCTTCCTCAAGACTACAAAAAAAGCCTGAATTCTTCTCAGTGAAACTACCACCTGCCCCATGTGATGGAATGTTGGAAGGACTATTACTAGCCCTGCTCTGAGCTAGCTGGAGATGAGTGTATCTCTTGTAATGAGAAGGCATTGTTGAGGTACACTGAAGACCATCAGGACACTCTGAAATGTTAATAAAGAAAAAAGTATTACAGGATCAAAGCACAGACTAAGCTTTAGCACCATCCATTAACATGTCAGTAGAAAATCGTTAGTGCTACTTTGAAGCCTTAGGACAATAGCTATCTTTGTACAATCAAGAGATTAGCATAAAATAACAATAATTCGGTGTGGTTTTGCAAGGTGCTGGTTATTATTTTTAAAGCAAATACTCTTTTAAATTTCTTTTCAATTAATATTTTGTCCCCCAAAAATTTAAGACTAACACTTTTTTCTAAGTAACTGTTTTGTCAATGGGTTTCAGCCCTGGGCAAGTTCTCTATGGATTCAGTATGACCAAAGAAATTATAGTAGAACGTTTTTTGGGGTGAAAGTGTTTATTACCTGTCTTGTTCTCCCGGTGGTAGGTCCAGCAATAGCATCTCTGTCTCCGCCCAGAGCACTGGGCCAAACTCTCTATATAGTGCAAATAGCTTATTGCCTACAGGTGTGGAAGCAATAGCCTAGCAACAGGCCAGTTACATCACCAAGTGGTTTAAGTTCAGTGAAGATCCTGGCCATAGGAACCCCAACTTCCCCACAGGAACTCTCACAGATATGAGCTCCTTCAAAATGCATGCCATGCTTGCATTAGTTATTTCTTAAGCAGATGCTACAAATTGACACCTTTGGTTTCACTAGTTCACTAGTATTCAAGCAATAAAGAGTAAAGAAGCCTGGTATGTCTGTCTCTCACAGAAGAAAAGTTCTACCCCAATTTTTATCTTATCAAGCAATACAGATTTATGACAATTTTAGTATCAACTTAGGCTCTGTTATTTAATATTCACACTGTATACAATAGCAGTAATAACAATCTTATTAGTTACAGCTGTTCCTACCCTGAATATTTTAGATTCTAATATTTGAAATTCAATTTGATAAGCTGGTAGTAATAATATGGCTTTAATAGTCTGGAAACTATTCCCCATATCATTATGATTGAGAAACATTATGCAAACCATCTTGGATGTTAATTTCCATGTTTATCAAAAAATGATCCCCTCCCCCCAAAAAAGATGTTACATTAAGTTATGACTTCATTGCTTAAAACTTAAAACCACCTCATAAAAGTATTTGTTACATATTAGAATTCAATTCAAGGAGAGTCTGAGATTCTATTCAAAGGAGTTTAGTTAGTGAAAAACCAAAAGAAATACCTCTTTGAGGTGTATTCATCTACAAGACATTTCACCGAGGTGCTCACCATGGGACTCCAACTTCCAGTTCTGATTTTCAAGCCACTTAAAAGCAAATTACTAGCATTTGATAAGACTTACACTTACTATGCTTTTATTAGGTTAATGTGAAATTTTTTAAATGTTATTTTGCATCTTCATGCAGTACTTTAAAGTGATAATGAGGTTAATAATAAAATGCCTTCTGAATCAGTTAACATAAAATTCATACTGACTTTTTAAAAATTTTACTGAATTTTAAATGAGATTTAAAAATTCATGGCATATATGATAACTTTAAAATACACAAATCATAACCCATTCTTCATATACTCCACGTAGACTTTTTTATGTTAAACATGACATTTATAAAATATCTTAAAGGTAATAAAAACATAACATTACTTCATTTATCACTTCACACAATTTTAATTAGAATCGTTAATAATCTAAGACTACTTACCAGTTGTTCTTTCTATATATTAGCATGATGAATCAACATACCCATATTTAGAAGACTGACCAATATTCATACTTCTATAAAAGTGTTTCATAGAAGATAAAATGGCAAGTCATTTAAGAACCTCCATCTGTAAAATGTCACTACAACCTACCTTATGCAGTCATTATGAGGGTCAGTTAAGTCAAACTAGCATAGTATGTGCTCAATTAACATTTATGAGAATTGAGGTGTTCAGGGACATTTATGAAATAATAAAATCCACTTACACTGTTTTCAAGTTTGCAACATTCTTTACAATTATACCATTGACTGCTTTTTTTCATCCTTGTCAAGAAGGGTAAAAACGCATTAACTTGGTTCCTTATAGGGTAAGTCAGTTATAGTGCCACCTCTCTCTTTTGGTTTATTTGCCTTGCTTGTTTCACTGGACTGATATGGCTGGCTGAGTGCAGGTCTTTCAAACTATTTAAAGACCATTATCCTTTTTGGAATCTTACCTGTTTCAGAGACTGGTGGAGAATCCAAACACTCAAAAACATGCCATCGAGGTGTCTGACCTAGCAATGCGGAAAAAGGCATCTGGCAGTTTGGACAGTATCCATCATAAACTGGACGTATTTTTGGAGACACCTGCTTGCTTTTCTGAGCCTTACAGCACTTTGCTGGAGTGGTCTCCTTGTCTTGGGGCTGCTGAATACCATCCCTGCAACCAGAATCCTGACCAGAAGCTACAGAAGTTTGACTGTATGTTTCTCCAACACACACTTCAGGGTCCTTCGCCTTCTCTTTAGCTTCTACAGTTCTTTTTTTATTTCTGTTTTGTCTTGACTGATATTTTCTACCTGTTGCTTTTTCAACAGATTTTGAAATATTCTCAGAGAAATTATTTGAATGTACTGGTTTTGGTTTTCTTTTCGATTTGTATTCCCAGATTTCTTCTTCCAAAAAAGTGTCTTCTATCATGGCAAAATGATTTTTATCATTAAAGAAGCACTAATCTTAAGTGAAGTGAGAGTGCATTTCTTGATTCAAAATTTTTTAATAGAATTACTTTACTGAGCAAAAAAAAGTAACAAAACCCCCACTAACTTAATAGAAATCTAACGCTCTGGTAATGAATAAATTGGCAAACTACAAACATTATACCTGAGAACATTTGCCCTTCTATGTATAGAGCAATAAAATTAAGAGGACCTAACCACACGCTAGCATCTGAGAAGTTTTTCCATTGTGGCTACTATTTCATTCAGGTACTTCAGCCTTTTCCAGGACTTGATTCATAAAAATAAGAATCAGTAATACTTTGAATATTAAGCACTAATGTGAAGTACAAATTCAATAGCTTAATCTTAGAACGAGCTGTTAGAAAGCTGTCAGTTCACTTTCTGCTGGACAACTGTCCAGAAAATCCACAAATGCAACCAGAGCCCCTGGGTAACGGGCTCAACAGGTATTCCAACACTAAACGTCTACCTTAATTTGCTAGTAACACTGGTCACACCATAATCAAAGAGGTGTGTGAGTCTCAAAAAAATGTAATTGCCCTTATCCTTGGCTCGTGGATATTCGGCAACTTCAGTTTGCTGGGGCCATCCAGTATCTTCCTCCAGCAGCAATGAACAAACACTGCACAATGAATAAACAAAATTCAAATATGTTTAGTTGTGCTCGCACTGAGGCCACGCACTCCCCTAGAACCAGACCGCGGAGGTGGTCTGCCCTACAGGTGGCCAGCCATCTCTTTGCCAGGTTCACCTGCCTGATGCTTCCCACTAGCTCTACATCCTTTTTGGACGTAGGAGGCCGCAAGGCCAGCGAGTTGGTTTTTTATCCCCTCCTGGGTAGACAGCGAGTTTGTTCCTAGCACGGCCTACAACATAAAAGCAATCAAAGCCCTCCTCTTCCGAAGACTGAGGTCCTGCTGTCAAGGATCCTCGCCGCACGCCCCCCGCCCCTGACCGCGCTCTCTCGGGGGCAGCAGCTCCAGCTGCGTCCGCCCTCCTCGGCGCCCCACTCTCACCGCTCAGTTGACAATCTATTCGCTGCCGCACATTCAGCACTGTGGGGCAACATAACATTATATGTGTGTATTAGCCAAAGCATTAGCCAGTCACTCCTAATCTTAAAAAGCTTTCTGGTAATGAAATCCTTAAAGAGATCCCTACCCCTTTACCTTTCACGTCTTGGCGGGAACAGCTTCCTCTCGCCTGTGCTGTGTCGAATCAGCTGAACCCGGTTCTAAGAGCGGGCCTTTAAAAAGAATGAAAAAAGTTTGTGCCCTTTTAAGTCTCACGGACTTATTTTATTTTTATTCTAAAACCCGCTGATTTCCAAAGTGAAGGGTGGGGGAATGGCCCTCTTGGAGCTTCTAGAACGCTGGCACAGCAGCCTTTTCCATGTTGAATCAGGCACTCTGAATGTCCAGGCGCAGCTGTGGCGCGGGCGCTTAGAAGGGGCGGGGTGGTTTGGGCCAGTAGTTTAATTACATTCTTGGGAGCAGCAACGACTGGCACCTTAGCTTTTGAGTGCATGACTAACAAAAGAAGAAAGTCTGGTTAGCGTGGAGTGGGGCTGGTGGCGAGCGAGGTGAATGTGCTGTTTTGAAACAAAAGGGCAGTAAAGCGCTTCCTCTCTCTGCGAACGAGCCCGTCCTGCGGGCTGGGCAGCCGCCTCTGGACTGTCCGGAGAGAACATGGCGGCCCCCGGAGTCCGGAGCTACAGCCTCTCGGGCCTGCTGCCGGCTCAGACCTCGCTGGAGTACGCCCTGCTCGACGCCGTCACCCAGGAGGAGAAGGACAGCCTGGTCTACCAGTATCTGCAGAAGGTGGACGGCTGGGAGCAGGACTTGTCAGTGCCCGAGTTTCCCGAAGGTGAGGGTCTGTTCGGGTGGGGACCCCTCCCGGAACCGCCTGTCTCTGGGGGCCGGCGCGCTCCCCGGAAGCGGGGGCCAGGCGGGGTTATGCTCCCACGCCCGACTGGGCGCCTTGCCCCGCCTTAGCAGCGGTTCTCGTGCTTTGCAATTCCCAGGTGTCCCGGAGCGGCGACAGACGATGGGTTTCTGGGGGGCGGGGACCTGCATGCTGGTCTTTGTATCCTAAGCCCCAGCCCGGGCCGTGTGTTAACTAGGTAGACCTTCCATGAATGTTTAGTGGCCCCTTTTGACAGCGATTGAAGTGTCCGTGCTACCCTGTCCTTTCAGTCTAGTTGCCGAGCATCGTCATCCTTCTGCATCTATCTAGTTAACATGTCCTGATCGCTTCTTTTGTGCCACACACACAGTTGCAAACAGTTCAGGGGTGTTGCCTTCTTTAATCCTGTCTTCAACCCTGAAGTGCTTTTATTAGTCCTTATTTTATTATTGAGGAACTGAGGAGGTTAAAGTAACTTGCTTAGGGCCTCACAATTAATAACTGCCGGAGTTACGTTATATAGACCACAGGTTTCTTAGCTGGGCCACTCTCCTACGTTCAAAGTGGTGAAACTTGTAATTCTAAAAATGTGAATCATTTATGACCGACCTCCAGGGTTTGAATCCCGGCTCTGTGAGTGTTTGGAACACGAGGGAACCGATATTTCCAGCAGTGCTTTTTGTGAAACACGTCTTGCTATGATAAATGAAACCCTACTTTACCTTCTTTGGTTGGGCCTGAAATTGTTTGCCTGACGGTGTTGGCATGTCTCCTGGCATGACACTGACACCACATGTATAGTTAATTGGTTGGATGTGGGTTCAGTATCTCAGGGGAGGTGTATCGGAACCTTGCCCCTGACAACAGAGCTTTGTGTGTCTTTCCAGGCTTTTGGCTCCTGCTTCATGGTGTTTATTTTTTCTATTATTAATCCTATACTGGATTTGAAATATTGTGAATTCTTAAAAAAGAATTGGTTTGGTGCATGAGAGATTATCCCATCAAAGAAACTTTAAAAGATTATCTACATATTGTATACATTTTAAAAGCTTTGTAAGAAGTTAGTTATATATAGTACAGTGTTAGAAACGAGTAGGCCACCAGCCAGGATTTGGACCAGTGTTTTTATTTTCTAGTCGTGTTTGTATTTATAGTGAGTGAATTTTATTACCGTGAAATTTGACCTCTGTGACTTGTAAAAGATAGAACAAAATATATTGGCTTTATATTTATATAGTCAAATTTTCTGCTGGATTTGATTATTGAGGGCAGACTGCTACGTAAGAATTTTTTCTTGGTTTCCTTATCAGTAAACTATAATCAAGAAGTCATAAACCTAACTATCAAAATCGGTGTACTTAAGTCATTTTGTAAAAGGGAACACATGTCTGTGGGAAACAGTGTGGTGTCATGCCTGGATGCAGACAGACCTGGGCTTAAACCCCCTTTAGTCTGTTTTGTTAGTTGCATGATTTTCAGCAAGTTAACTTCTCCAAACCTTGCTTTTCTCACTTATAAAAGGGAACCAGTATTTACCTTCCAGATTTGTTATGTGGATTGGAGGTATGATACATCTGAAGTTCTTAGTTTATAGGAGAGTTCAGTAAATGTTAGCAGCTTTTTAAAATTATATTCCTTGTAATTATTATTAAAAATTTTATTAATATTAAACCTGGTAAGCACCTACCACAATAACTGACCTGTAGAAATACTTTCCCTATCCCCCAATCTAAGTTGCTCTTAACTATTTATAGAAAATAAACTTAAAAGACTTATAAATTTTGCAGTTAGGATATGAAATGTGTATGAGTTTGAAGTTTTATACGATCATTTGATCTGGTATACAATTAACACTATTAAAATGGGTACTTAAGAGCTTATTGTACCCTAAAAACTCTCTAGGTTGTACTGACTGGCAGAAGTACTAGTTTGATTTACAGGTTGCTTTTTTTTTAGAGTTTTAATTGAGTAACTGCAGCTACTGTTATTAGTCCTGAGCTGTTATTAATCACTTGTTACATCCAACTTCAGCTTTCAGTTTCTATAAAATATTTCCATATACCTGCTGCAAGGTATAATTAATAGTTTTAGTAGCTGCATTTATTTACTTATAAGTAAAAAGCTTGTTATCTTTCTTTCTTAAATTGGTTACATAGAGATGTATACTTTTAAGGTTAGTTAAAAAGTTTAACAGAATCTTTCTTAATAGTGCATAGTTAAAATTGTAAATCATGGCCAAGTAATTATAAATCCTGATTTACAAAAATACAGAGGAATGAGATTCTATTTTTCTTTTCTTTGGAGGGAAGGGAACATGTGCTTCATCAATATTAATGTTGCTTCCATGAAATCCATTAATAGTAAGTGTATTTTGCTTAACTTTCCATTTGAAATATTTCATACCTAAGGTGTCGTTGAGATTCAAAGCATTTCAGCTCTTATGAAATTGGCTTGGGTGTTTTGTATGTTTATCCTTACATTTTAACACTTTACTCCTTTTTGATATTTAGTCATGTCGTGCTCTTCTTAAGGTTGACCTTCATTCTCAACAGCCCATTTGTACCTGTTTATGTACTTAGGTCCTCTTAATGTTTGATACTTCTTGATTTTACCTAAATGTGATCTTACTCCCTTTCACGCACAGACTATTATAATATTTCTGAAAGAATTTAGTAGCTTTTTGTCACTGTATTTACAGACTGCGTCATAGCAACAGCTTTCCCATCCTCTTCCACCCACTCTCACTCACCCTGCCACCATCCCCTCCTTAGAAATAAGAATAGTTCACATTTTCATTGAAAGTTTTAGATAAATTATCTTGGTCTTTTCCTTTAATCATAATTTATTTTGTGTAAATTTCAGGATTAGAATGGCTGAACACAGAAGAGCCTATTTCTGTCTACAAGGATCTGTGTGGAAAAGTGGTCGTCCTTGATTTCTTTACCTACTGCTGCATAAACTGTATTCACCTATTGCCTGATCTTCATGCATTAGAACAGACGTACTCTGATAAAGGTATCTGCCCCTTAACTGGTTTTTGATCGACTGTCCTAGTACAGGAACTGGAGTAGAGTAGCTGACTCATTTGCTCATGGGAGAATGAATATTTGGCATGAACTTCAGTGATTCTAAAAGCAATTTCTAATCTATGAATTAAGTACTCCATGTACCTTTTCATGAAGAGTTAAGCTTTAGTGAAAATGGTTGTCTTCCTAAAGAACCAGCATTTGGTATATGGTTTTTCTCTAAGGGTAAGACATAATTTACTTTTTTCACAATGGAAGTATTTTAGCAAGATCATTTTGTTTATCTAGACTTACCTAAATTTGTCCTACGAAATAATGAAATATGTGGCTCTAATTTTATACTCTTCTCAATATGACATAAAGGTTTAAAGTTCTTAGTAGGAAATGTGATTAGGCTTCCCTTAATATCAAATGACATGAACTACAGTGGAATGCAAAATATAATACTTTCTCTTCAACCCTACTTCATTAAAAAATGATTTATAAAGGTTAATGTTTTCCAAAGCATACTAGGAAATCCTCTTTTATGGTATTAAAAATTCTGAAGATGTAAGAGATTATACTTTATATTTGCTTTAGAGCTTTGTCTTGTTTACTTTCTAAAAAGAGAGCAAGCACATGGGGTAAATGAAACTGTTTGAAGTTTCCATTTAATTAGGTTTAAATTGAAACTCTACTCTTGTAATGGATAAAAACGAGAGAGGGTCACTGATCCTGTGAAAGTAGAAATGAGAATAGAGTATATATGTACAAAAATTAAGGATATCTTGAAACTTAGTTAAGAAAAGGAAAGATAAAATCTTCCATGCAAGCAAAACTTAAGATGCTTTTAAATTCTAATAGATTATATCTGTAAATTGCCAGAGAGACTTATCAAGATCTCAGATATTCCCAGTAGCTTAATCTTGTTTTCAAGAATTCATATGTATTGATTTAAGAAATACATATATATCATCATTGCCTAGTTTTTGGGTGCTTATGTATGTGTCTTGCTCAAGCCAGTATAAATAAATAAACACATTTATTGAGCATGTATTATGTGCAGGGCACTGTGCTAACTGCTGAGGATGTATGTAACAAAGTTGAATAAAAAGAATTACGGAAACTGAGGAAATGCCTCCAAGCATTGGAAAAGATTTTCAGTAAAGGAAACACTTAAGCTGGAACTTGAAAAAATGAGCAGGAGAGCAGCTGAAAATGCAAATGGGGCAGGAGTAAGCTGGCTGAGGAAGCCACAGGTAAACAAGCAGGGAAGCACGAACAGTGGATTTCTCGGGAAGAGATAAATAGTTTGTCTGGCAAGATGTAGGAGCTCCTGGGAAAGGGGAAAGGAAAGGACGGTAATTAGGTTCAGACCACCTACCTGTGAAGGGCTTTGTGTAACACTCTTAAAAGTTTCACCTTACTCTTCCATTTGAAGGGAAGATATGTTTAAGGTTGTTTCTGATGTGTTTGTTTAGTAGGAGGATGACAGTAAGATTTGTATTTTAGAAAGGCCCTATAGGCTGGGATAAGAGTCCCAAAGTTAAGTATATGGGATTCTTATCCCTAAAAGACTGTATATGGTTAACTTAATCGGTTAACCCCATACCTGAAGCAAATTCAGTGATATTTTAGGTTGGATCCTCATTATCTCTCTATCAGTTTATTGGAAACATCATTTTTTTTATGTCTAAGAGATTTTTTTTTATAAATAAACAGTTATTTTAATTACAAATGAAAGGTACATGACTATAAGGTATTAGGTAGTGCAGACATTTTATGTTTGAACCATCCATCTAGATTAAAGCCCTTACTGGAGCAGGTACATTCTAATTACAGTAGAAGACTAGCAGGAAGATCCTCACTACTTAAAGGTAGGGGTGGGGACAGGTGGCACGGGCAACGTTTGGGAGCATGTGAAAAATGCAAAGTCTTGGGCCCAGGCTTGTGAGTCAGAATCTGCATTTTTAACATGGTGCCCAGGTGATTCATAAGCACATTAAAGTTTGAGAAGGGCTGGTCTGGGTCAGTGTTTCTAAAAGATGAGACTATAGACCATCTACATGGCAAATACCTGGAAAATTTATTAAAAATGCAAATTCCTGAGCTCCACCCAGGCCCACTGAATCAGAATGTCCAGACAAGGAGTCCAAGAATCAGCATTCCCAATGAACTCCCAGGTGGGTAGAAACATCATTTTTATAGCACACTGTGACAAAAGTAAACACTACTTTCACATACAAATACACTTCTGGAAAGTAAAATACTTTTTTAAGAGTTCTCAACATTGTAATTTAAAAGAGACAGTATTTCAAAATATGCTACTATATGAAAATGGTGATAATTTAGACATAAAAGATTTTTATATTGCTCAGAAGATAATTTCAATTCATATTCACAAAAGTAGGCATACCCAGAGATTATCACATGAAAATTCAATAAGCTGCCACTAAATTAATTTGCTTTCTTGTAGTTAAGTGTCTTGTCTTATTACTATCTGACAGGTTTCTGAACACATTTGCAGCAGTGCTAACAGTTCTTGAGGTGACATTCAGCAGCCTATTTTAAATTCCATGGAGGATTCAGTTCATTTTTTCAGTAATCCAGAAATGCTCAGCTGAGTGAGGAAGTGCTTTTTCATTAAAAAAACTCTCTGAAAATGGTCCAGTTTAATACTCAGTATCCTTCCTCTGCAGAACAGCTTTTAAAAGTCAGGTCTGTAGCAGTGACCAGTATCACTTTCACAATAGCAAAGAGAAATTATAAATGCCAAGGAGTCTAAAGGAGAAAGTAAAAAGATGCTTAATAGGAATGAATGGTTCTGATCTTCAGACATTTGTAGCTGTGCCCTAAGGTGGTTAGTAACTCATAATAATTTAGCACATTTTTATTAAACTGATAACTTAATAAAAATTTTTTTCCCTTTCTAGTTGACAATTTCTAAGTTTTTACTTAGAATGTTATATTATTACATAATACTCAACTTTAGCACAATGGCAATTATTTAAGGAAAAGCACTCTTGTTTTATAAGAAAACATCTATTAAGGAGAATTGGTATATTTTAAAATGTGCTTGCTAGGTGTATGTCAATATATAAGTAAATCAGACTTTAAAAATTTTTAATGCCATTATACTACTTAGTAAATGCCGATATTCTCATTATGTAGTATATGCTATTTCTGTTTTATACTTTATTAAAAATTAGAAGAATGCATTTCTAACTTTATAGTGAAACTAAACCTCTTAATGAGTCAATCTGTAATTTCGTTTTGTGTCCGGGTTCCCAGAACCACCCTCAGGATTGGTAATTCTTTGGGAGGCGAGGACTCAGAGGGTTCAGCATGTAATTAATGAACTCACAGCTATAATTTATTACAGCAAAAGGATATGAAGGAGAATCAGCAAAAGGAAAAAATCCCTCAGAGCTAAGTCTAGGGGAGACCAAGCACGGGTTTCCCAGTCCTGTCTCAGTAGAGTCACACAAGATTGGCTTAACTACCCAGCAGGGAGTTGTTACAACACACTTGAGATATTGCCTACAAGGGACTCTCATTAAAGACTTAGGGGCCAAAGTTTTTATTGGGGGCTGGCCATATAGGCAGCTTCTGACTGGTGGCATATAGTGAAATTCCAGAACCCGGAAAGAAAGCAAATGTTCAGTATAAACCATATCATTTGTACAAACAGTTTAGGCATAGTGAGCCATTCTTACCAGTTCTGGGAATCCTCCCAAGTCAGGCAAGGCCCAGCCTCCTTTGAAAGAATAGCAGTCAGGCCTGCTATGTTAACTCTTTTCTGCACACACTTTATATTATCTTATTGCAGTAGCACATATATTTATTATTCTGTGTTCTTAAATAGTAAACTACAATGGAAATATTAGCCAATTTATGGCAAATTTGCAGGGTGTTTAATGTGGATACAGGGTAATGTCTGTTTTTGAAATTCTAAAACATTTTTCAAATTTGCTTCTGATCTCTGCTTCAGTTCAGGGTTCAGTGATTTTGATCCTTTTATTTCATGGTTCCATTGCTCCTAAAATCCCACTTCTCCGTACTCTCCTCTTCTGTCATGGTGTTCTAGCCTCTCTGGCCTTTCTTCAGTTCCTCAGTATCATTATTCCTCTTGCATTAAGGCCCCGACAGTGTTCGCTCTGCCTGGAGTGAGCTCATCCTTCCTTGCCTAGTAAAGTCAATGCTTGTCTTTTAGATCTCAAAATGTTTCGGTTTATGGTTCTTGTAACATGTAAAATTCCTCAAATATTTTTAATCTTTGCATTGAACTAGGTTATTATAGCACCTGTGATTGAACTATACTTTCTGCTATATAGTATGTTGTATATGTAATTATATGTGGTATATGTTACTATATACAATTGTGGTCTAGTACAGTTGAAATCTGTAAATCTGTATCTCTGAAATATATGACCTTTGAAACTTTAAAATGAGTTTTCAAAGTTATTATTTTATTACTAATATGTTAGAAGCAGTTACTCTTTTTGTATGGATTCTCCTTCCGTTTTTCCTTCCTCCCTCCTTCTCTTCTCCTTCTCCCTCTTTTTTCCCTTCCTTCCACATTTTATCTTAAAAGGAGTACTTTTAATCCTTGTGTTGGCAAAAAGATTCATAAATGGAAGAATCTTTTATTGAAAACAAATAATGGGGTTTACTCTGATCTGGAGGAAATAAAGCTTTCTTAAGAGTAAAAATTGAGTTCTAAAAGAAAAATATAGCTTTACTATGGGAGAAAATGTGAGAATATTCTGGCCAAGGGAACACTATGTGTTAAGGCCTTAAAATAAGAGGAATAATGATACTCTTGAGGAACTGATGAAATGCAAGGCTGCCTCAACGCCCTGAGGGAGGGGAAGAAGGGTGTAGAGAAGATGCTGGGAAGATGAGATCTGGCTTTTATAAAAAGAACAATGGAAAGCCAGTGAAGGATTTTTCTGGAAAAGGGTAACATGATCAGATTGTGTTTGTTGAACAGTCAGTCCCATTGCTGGG